TTTATCATTATTATTATTATCATTAGGTCCTGAACAGTAGTACCCCCACTACTAGTAATAAGCAGTCATTAGTTGAGCTGTCAGCAGCAACACCAGTTTTAGAGCATAAGGAATGATCTATTAGAAATAACTGACCTCACTTAAAATCAGTTATCATTAATTTTGATCAAAGATTTCAGTTGGCACATTTATAACTCTTGCCAATGTTGTTGTATCATAATAATTGTTGCTATTATGACAAGAGAATTAATAATAATAATAATAATATTAAAGTTAAATCCTCTTATGCAATACTGCTGGCATTAGAAGCAATCCTTGGCCAAATATCAGCACATTCCAGCAATCCTTGGCCAAATATCAGCACATTCCAGCAATCCTTGGCCAAATATCAGCACATTCCTTAGCCACTGGACCAGCTACTGTTGAACCTAATCAATAAAAATAGTGCAAATCATAAAACATATGTATCAGATATTGTATTTAAAATGGGGATGATTTCAGAGCTATTTTCCTAAAACAACATGGTCTTTTCTAGTCTTTGCTTTTTTCCAAAAATTTCCAATTTTATAATGGCCATAACTCAAAAATTTGAAGTCAGAATCAGCTCAAACTTTCTACACAGCATAAGGAGTTAAGGACATCAATATGTATCAGAAAATGTAATAAAAATTTGGGGTGATTTTGAAGCCATTTTTTGAAAAAAACCATGGGCTATAGCCTTGGGTATTCTTCAGAAATTGGCCCATTTTAAAAAACACTCATAACTTAAAAATTTGAAGTCAAAATCAGCTCAAACTTTCTACATAGCATAGTACATTGATTCTTATAATAATGTGATGTGTCATACCTTTTGAAATTCACAATAACACCAGCATTATCTGATAAAAAGAATAAAAAACAAAAATTAATGATAACAAATTAGCATGTTTAAATGTACATATTTAAATGAAATTACCTTCAAAATAAAAAATACTCCATCTTTTCTTCAGTAAGGGTTTCCTCTGTCGGATAACAACAGCTATGGCATTACTATAATGAACAAAAAAGCAATTCATCATATGCTGAGAACATGTTGCTAGCAACATGTGTTTTTGTGTTTTTTTCCTGTTCTCTCCATTTCAAGGCTACTACACAAGTTGTAGCTAGTCCTTCAACACTTCCTATGTTTTCTGTATAACTAAGACTATATGATTACTCTTATCTTCTGTTGTTGTGTGTTGTAAAGTAATAATAATAATGATAATAATAATAATAATAAACATTTGTGGTTACTTTGATCTTGTAATCATGTTGCTAAGAATAGAAATCAGTTCTATTTTTTGCAAATGTTGCTCAAAAGATCAAAGTAACCACAAATGTTGCTAGCAAAAACTTTATATTGAAATTCATTTTATCATCATAACACACCCACAAATAGCAACATATACAAACTGCATTCTTTAGTCAGGTTTTCCTTTCTTAAATAACAGGTAATGTATATATATATATCTTGTCTAGTTTATCCTGTTTCAGGGTAACTATAGCTGCATAACAAACATTCCTCTTTGTCAATACGTCAGGACGATCAGCTACTCAACTATGACTCAGCAGTCCTTTTAAACTTCGTCTAGCCATATATGGTCTCGCTCTATAAATCCGGCGACCTCGCTTCCCCACGGCAGTATCAAATCTAGCAAGTAGACCTAGATCAGAGAGATCTCAATGGATGATATCAAAGATATTCCTAGAGATGACATCCTAGATTTTTCCTACTTACCAAAAGAACACCGTTTCGTCGACAAGGTGACTTGCTACAGGATATGGGATTATATCGCAAAAAGAATGCAGACCAGGAAAAATTTTGCTAAGATCGTGTCATGCTATAGATTTAAAAATCAACCTGGCACCTTTTTTTCTCATGAGACATTTTCACTTGTTTCATTTGATGTGCATGAGATCTGTAACATAGTGTTTCCTCTGTGGATACTGGCAGTA